AATTATATGTTAATGAAAAGAATATTGGGATTTGGGAAAGATAGAATTTTGAGATATTTTGATTTCACTTCATATCTTATGCTTTTTTATATTTTATATTATTCACTCATTAGTATATAAAAAATTTATCATTTTATGTTTATGCAATCTTTTGATTTTGAGGCTTACGCCTCAAAACGCCTTGAGGCTTACGCCTCGCCTCACGAATGAAAAACGTCTCAATACCCGAATACGCAGTTTTAAACATTGCATAACATAATAACTCACCTCTTGATAAACATCATGAATGGACTTATTCTCCCTCCTATACATATTTAGAATATCTAAGAAAGCCTTGTAAATATGCTCTTCATTCTGGAATCGATTCTGCAGAAATACAAGCATTGAGTTTAAACTACGGAAACAAAGTTGGGGCACATAATTCAACCATATCATGACTGGCTCATCATATAAATACTTTTATTTTGTTCACGAAGCTAATAGCCTCCTCAAACTCAACAGGCTTCTTTTCCTCGGGAAGCTTGATTTCATACCCATGAGGCAAGAAGGTGTTGAAACCTAGAATAAGATCACGATGCCCCTTGAAAAGTTCTTTCACCCTCATAATTACTCCGCTAGTATCAATCCTGCGACCAACAAGGACAAAATCACAAGATGCAACGAAAAATCATAAATAAGGTATCGATTGCAAGCATCAATATAAATATTGAAAGAACAGAGCAAAACTCAAAGTAGCCATAACGGTTCAGGTCTGACCTCTGGCTCTTAAAATCCTTCATGACTTCGAGAAACTCATCATACTTCTCCCTCTTATCCTGAAAAATATCTTTGACAGCCTTCAAATAGGCCAGTGCATCATTCGTAGTTAACTTCTGAGTATTACTAGGAGCTGCAGAAGTCATATTTGGATACCCGAACCTGCCCCAAGACTATCATTATTCATATCAGAACAAAGCATATTAAGCAATTCCTTTCGGTGAACATGGTGTATCATAAAAGAAATTCATAAACCCTAACAACCCAATTCATAGCCCAAAAAGCAAGTATCAGAGAAATGCATACTTCCTAAGAGGGTTAAAAGGGATTTCACCTTCAAAATTATAGAAAATAAAAATATATATAAGAAAAAGGAGAAACCGAAAGAACAGTTTCAAAATCCCCAAACGTCCGCATGAACAAATAAAAAATAATAATAATAATAATTAAATCTTTAAGCAAACCATCTTCGTATCTCAACAACTAAATCCGAAGAACTCTACTATACAAAAATTAACCCAGGTATTCCCCCTGCAAATATACGAAAGAATAACAGCAATTTAATAGCGACTCGTTACAAAACAAACACGAACATTTACGAAAAAAAAAAAAAATGCTCAATCCAGAAGAGCTAAACCTATTCCTAACCGTCAAATCACCCAACCAAGCGAAAAAAAAAAATCTACTATTGCCCCAAAACCAATTTTCTACTGCCAAAACTAGACGCAGAAGTAGATAGCACTACACAGTATAGACATGAGAAACAGTGAGTAGAACCTGAGTCAAACGATAATCAATATTGAAGATTCACGGATCCGCTTTCGTCAATTTTGTTCTCTTCAGCCCTGAGCCCATGAAACCATTATACAAACTTTGCCTTTCCCTACACCCATCCCAACTATCACAGGACAACCAAGCCCCTTTTCTCCTCCTTCCCACTCTTATTAGTATACTCCAGAAAAAAACCCAGCCAAACCAATCACCGATCTTCCTCGATCAACCTCAACACCCAATCCTGCCGCCGAAATTCGCAAGGATCACAGTGGCTCTAAGTCAGTTCGAGAGAGAGAGAGAGAGGGAGAAGAGAATAGACCTATCTGTGCAGCAGAAGCATCGAGCGGGGAAGGAGCCGGAGAGGATGTAATTTGTAATATATTTATTTATATTTAGTTTATTTATCAAAACAAAATTATGGAAAAAGAATAGAGAGAAAAATATAAAAAAAAAATTAAAAAAAAAATCCACTAACTTATTGAAGCTATGGAAGGAAACTACCCACCTGACCTGGTCGCCGGAGAAGACGCGCCTCAGCCGTCGATCAATAGGGCTCCCACTACACTAACATATCAAGTGGGCAGCGAAGATGATGGTTAGGATCGGATGAACGGTTGAGATTGATTATGGCGGTCGACATGAGGACTGCAGTGGACGTTATTCCTAGGAAGTAGATATGCATGAAGGACTAACAATTTTGCTCGGTCTGGATTTAACAGATTTGAAAGCATAAATATATTATTTGATGATTAACTGAACTTTCTTCTTCTTCTTTTTTTGGCAAAATTTTTATACATAATTCAAAATGATCTAATTTGCATATATAATATCTAAATTTATCATTTATTTTATATGTCAATCTTAGCTTATATTGCCCTATTTTCACAAATATAAGTTGCAAAATGATCATGTTAAGGAAAGAATGAGCCGCATGTGCAATTCATTGAAGAAAAAGAACAAGAAATTGTTGGGATCACTGAAATTTTGACAAAAAGATATAAGAAAATGTGTAAAAAGTGACAAGCCTAACAAGTTTTATTTGAACTTTGTTGAAACACTCACGAGAACTCATATTAACTTAAACTAAATTAAGAGAGTGTGTGTTACTCAATCTCCTAAAGGAACTCGGATCTTTATGGTTAATTACACTTAAGGATACCTCCAAAAGAAACTTTGGATAAATAAAACTTGAATTTGTATTGATTCTTTTTGGTTAAATTTTAATGGAAAAACTATAATTTAATGACTTTTGACATGATTACATGGTTTATGCTTAAAGATAGACTAATATGCAAGGCAGAGGTGAATCACCCTAATTAGTAAGATGATCGTATTTTCATAAACAAAGTCTATATGACAAAGTATATATTGCTTGAGATTGTTGTAACATGTGTGTTTTTTATGATTCCAAATATTATTACTTTAATTACTATTTCTCCTAACATATATATATATTGCTTTTGTTGTTTGTGTGTACTGACATTTCAGGAAAATCATACTCCAAACTGTTGAAGACTTTAAGGAAGAATAAATTAGGGTTTATTGTAAATGTAGTCTGTAAATTTTCACTTTTATTTAGTTTGAGAGAGTGTGATTGTAATTAAGTAACAGTGCACACACACACTAGGATAGTGTTTAAAATATGTAAATTTTTAAACTAATCATACTATACAATTTTAATTCATACGGGATAATTTGTTCAGTTATTTCCTCCTACGAGCAATTAAATGAACTATGGGAAGAAATTTTTTCTAAGTACTGATCATACTGTACGAAGTGATCTTCGTACAGACGACATCCAAAGTATGAAATAGATATGTCCCTGTTCGTCCCGACGATTTCTGAAAAATTTTCTAAACTGGTCGTACTTTATGAAGTGCCTTTGTATAGACGACGTCCATAGTATTTAAAAAATGGGTTCCTTTTCATCCAAACGAATTACAAATTTTCTTTAATTGATTGTACTTTACGAAGTGACCTTCGTACAAACGACATCTAGATTACAAAAAAATGGGTTCCTTTTTGTCCCAACAAACCACAAAATTTTCTGAACGGATCATATTATACGATACATGGTTCGTACTAACGACGTTCATAGTATGAAAATGTGGGGTATCTTTTCGTCCCGATAAAGTAGAAATTTTTTTCAATCATTTGTATAGTACGAACATGATTCTTACTTGATGATTATCGTGTATGAAAATATTTCGTATAGGTACATATGCAGCAATTTTTGAACTATTCAAATATATAATTTAGGATCATACTGTACGATCGTACACACTCAAAATGACAAATTTTCAATTTTTTGGACGATTTTTTGTCTCTTTTATATAAGAAGTCCTTAGAAACTCACTTGAAAAAAAATGTTATTCTTTGTGATTTCTTTGAGCACAAGTGAAAGAGTGTTTTCAGAGAGTATTTGAGAGAGAGTTCTTGCAAGTGGAGTGTAAAGGATTCATAAGGTTACTCAAAGGTAAGAATCTATTTTGTATTTTGGTTACTTCTCTTCATTTCTTCTTTCTAGTTGCTCGAGAGATGATCTTTGAAGAAGATCTGGTACTTTGGTGACACTTGGAGGGTGTAAAAGGATGACAATACTTTGCCGATATTTGGAGGGTGTGAAAGGACGATAGTACTCTGCCAATACTTTAAGGGTATGAAAAGACGACGGTACTCTACTGACACTTGAGGGTGTGAAAGGATGATGGTACTCTGCCGACACTTGGAGGGTATGAAAAGATGCTGGTACTCTATCGCACCGGGGATTGGTGGAAGAGATGAAAATTGTAAAGGCTTCTCCTTCTTACTGTGGGGGTAAAATGAGAGTCACTTTGGTAATAGTATAATACATGAAGAGGGAGTCTTCAGGGAGTGGATGTTGGTCTTGTTGGACCGAACCATTATAAATCTTTGTATTTATTTTTATTTATGCACTTTTATTTTTCAGCATTTTTTATTTTGTCGTTGAAAATTTATTTTTATAAAATATATAAAAATCAATTTTCTAGTAAAATCCAAGTGAATTTTTTTAAAATTACCAATTCACCCCCTCCCCCTTCTTGATTAGCCTTGGGACATTTACATAGGTTTAAAAACCTATCCTTACTTTACAATAGTAAAATGAAGATAACATATAAAATATAATAAAGAAACATGCAATAATAAATAAAATAGAGTGATTTGATGGCTATAAAATAGAACAATTCATTGCAACTAAGCAAGCTGACTTATACTTACCCTTAAATAAAAACAAAAAAAGAAGTCAAGCCTTTATTCCATACATAGACACCTAGATCTATAAAAATAGAAATGATAATAAGGTATAAACTTAGATGATCTCTCTAGTCGTATTCCTTGGAAACTAATTGAAGTATATATATTTGTTAACCAAATATTGGGAAATGTATTGTTGGATAGAGATAAAAGTTTGAACTATTTGGAACCTTTACTTTTATTTGTTGGAAAATAAAACTATGCAGATTTTGGGGAAACTCCTATTTTTCTAATTAAATGCTGCATAGAGAATGTCATACCATCTCAAAAGATGGAGATAACATTCTACTTTGGATTCAAAGACAAAAATAGTGTTTTGAAAATTTTACTATTATTATAATCAAACTAAAAAAAGAATAACATATTATCTCAAATGATAAATATTCTATTCTACAATGATGTTGAAAAAACAAAAATAGACTTTTAAAGGTTTTATGAGTTCGATAGTCAAATACAAAAAGAGACTAACTAACATATCATGTAGGGAGATAACATAGCATTCTAAATGTATTCAAAAATAAAATTGATGTTTTCGAAAATAGGCTACACCCCAATGATTTTTCCCTACCTTAAGAAATTTTAAGCTAAAGTTATAAATTCACCATAAAGGCCATCTCTTATGGTTTAATTATATCTCATGAAAGACATTCTTTATAACACTCTTGATTTAAATAATGACTAAACTTTTCTTGATTTTCAAGATATATACAAGGTTTAAACGAATTGAATTTTTCAAATGGAACTCAATTAAGATTGAACATTTCTTTTTGGAATCAAAGGATGAGAGGTAGAGAGTACTACGATTCTGAGAAACTCAGAAGTGTTCAAGTATATCATTTATTGGGCTTTTGTATTTTAGAATGGGTTGAACTTTTATGTTATGATTTTCTTGGATGCCATTTCAGGCTATAATCAAATCAAAATACATTCAGGAAATTGTGTGAAGACTTCTTTCATCACCACAGAAGGTTTGTATTGTTATAAGGTGATGCCCTTTGGTTTGAAGAATGGCAAGACGATCAACCAAAAGATGCTAGATAAAATATTCAAGGATTAAAAAGGAAAGAATATCAAGGTGTATATGGATGACCTCCTAGTAAACAAGGGTAACTTACCTTGGCTTTCCAGGACTTTGGATATTTTAAGAAGACATTTACTGCCCTCAAGAAGTATAATATGTAACTAAATCCCTTAAAATGTACCTTTAGGGCAAGTCAAAATTTTTTTTTGGGATTCCGCCTCACACCATAATGAATCAAAGAAAACCTTGATAAGGTAAGGAAAATTATGGAGATGCAGTTGCCCAAGCTGGCCAAGGAGGTGTAGTAACTCACTAGGCAAGTCATCGAGCTTAATTTCTTTAACACGCAACTAAGTGAGAGATGCTCACCCTTCTTCAAGGTCCTTTGAAATGGGGAGAAGTTTTCTTATGATGAGGACTATAAGGCCATCTTTTAATAATTTAAACTTCATCTCACCTTTCCACCTCTACTACAAAGCCTATGATCAAGTGAGGAAATGTTGTTATATTTATGAGCGGGTGAGGATGTGGTTAAGTTTGTGCTTGTGAAGAAAGAAGGAAATAAGCAATAGTGTATTATCTAATAAAAACACTTAGAGGCACAGAGTAAGGGTATCACTTCATAAAGAAACTCACATGGGACCTAATAAGCTCGTTGAGGTGGCTATGACTTACATCCAAGATCATCCTACCCAAGTAATGTACTAGACAAGCTAGATCACTCTGAGAATTTGCTCAAGCAAATGATGGAATTGAGTAAGTTCCAAATCACTTGCATTTTTAAGGATGGTTATCAAAGCCTAATAACTCATAGAATTCCTTACACATTTCAATGATTAGGTGTTGAGTCGAAGTTAGTGACTATGTAGTAGTATTGGACACTCCATGTAAATGGCACCTTAGGTAAGCAAGGCGTTTGCTTGAGCATGGTTTTGAAGAGTCCTACATGAATCACTATCACCCAAGCAATATGTTTTGAATTAAAATTTACAAACAATCAAACTAAGTATGAGAATGTACTTACTATTATTTGACTCGCCTCATGGCTAGGGGTCACTCAACTTATGTTGTCTAATTC